TGATGTATCATCCAAGTTAGTTTGGTCACTATATTGCTCATAGTTACTTAGAAATGAGACCTGCACCAAAAACATAAACCCTGTTACTTCTGCGGAAATATAGGTCAGATTCAGCATCCGAAGCAAGCCTGGTAGTGTGCATCCTAAAATGTACCATCCATGCAAGTTTGGTCAACATAGGGCTAATAGTTACTCGGAAATGAGACCTACACCAAAAACTGCACCAAAAATGTTACCCTGCTCCAAAAACATTAACCTGGTCATTCCTTTGCTGTAATTGCAGCATCTGAAACTTAGACTGGTACAATGAAACACTAGAATTATCTTCCATAGGTGACTAATCAATATAGGGCATAGAAGTACTTAAAAAGAAAACTGCTCCATAAAACTTAACCTTAACCCGGGACGCCGACGCCGAGGGTATTACATAAGCTCCCCCAACTTCTTTGAAGTGAGCTAAAAATTGCACATAGTTTGAATGATTTTAACACAAACATAACGAAAAATAGAAGAATCCGAAAGTTTTTACACGATTTAGGGGTATAATATGCACAAACAAAAATCAAAAAATGTACAAGCAGAGGAAACTTAAAATTACACAAACAATTTTACAGCGCATACAGCTGCGCATATCATTATTATGCACATAGAATATTCAATATGTTCTTGGTTTTCTGTACTCTTTATCTCTTCATGTAAGTTAAGGTGGATGTAATCGAGAATGGAAATTAAATGGCGTTGACGATGGCATGTGCTTTGCTTTACTTCGTTATTTCTTTGCTAAAATTCGATCCGATTTCTAGCTAATGCCAATCGAACAAATGAACTGTTTCCATGTGATCTATATGTGAAAATACTTCAAAGTTTTTTTCGAAAATATTATGTTTTTCTTATATTGACCGAGATCCTAACCAAAATATGGAAGTACTATTTGATGCCAGACAAAAATTGTGACAAGAAGGAATCGTATAATGCGGGGTTAAAAAAACATTGCATATGATGCATTCGACTCCGAACTAAAAGTACCTACCGATAGAAAGTACGACTGACTAGGATCTCAATTTTATATTAAAAAAAAAAAAGTTAAAATTATTTTGTTTTGTTTTTTATTTAATTAAACACTCTATAGCTTTTGAAAATTTCTAATTTATAGATACAACTTTAACGGAAATTTCTTGTACTACTTGATTACGTGCATAATCAAACGATAAATAAAGTTGATTCTTCATGAAATTGGCAGAATTAATGCTGATTATAGTCATCATAGCTGAAGAATGAATTTTGGTACTTTTCATTTGTACCTATTTTATTTTCTTTACCACTCGGAATAGGAAATTATATAAACCTAAATTTATTTGGCTGGATATATATTTTTTAAACTTAGAAAAGTTGGGATTACCTTAGATGTACACAGCATGTATTTAGTACTAAGGTAAAACACAAAAAAATATTTCATTCGAATAACACATGTATTATTCTTATAAAATACCAGAAAATCAGATTTGGTTGGAGATTTTTATCATTCTTTGTTATGAATTCCTTCCATGAAATCTCATATTTTCAGTTATAAATTACTCAATAAAAAACAAGACGTTTCTTGTAAGCGTTACCCTCATTCGTAATGGCGATTACATGTTAAATGTTTTCATTTTAATAAAAAGGACCAGTTAAAAGGACAATATATATACTCTATGTGCTTTATGTTTAAGCGTTTTTGTGTGTTGTTACTTTTAAAACATTGTGATCTACTAAGTACAGCCGGTATATATGCACATATATACGTACAATGTTTCAATTAGGATGCAATTAAAAATTAGAATGAAAACATCATTGATAGAACGCGTTTTATCACTCTTGAAAAATACAAATAATTCATGTTCTTTATGGAGCTCGATGTTTGGCAAATATTTTCCAAGACAACAAATTCTGTTTACATTTTAAATTCGACTTCATGATTTTTAAAATTATTTTCCAAACACTAAGTTTCTTGTAAGATTACTTTTTTTTACCCAAATACATGTATATGGCCATTATAAAAAAAGAACATGATTATATTATTATGAAACGAAATGAATCGTCAATCAGGCGTGCAGACCCCCCTTATTTTCGAGTATAGATTTTGTTATAGTAAATTTTCCTTTTCATGCTGGTTGACCCCATCCCCTAATTTTTACTGTTGTAAGGTCGAGCGCAGGCAAATCCTAGGATATCATTATATAGTTTCATTGCAATCCTGATTTCGATCGACTACTTCATGTACCTTTAAATTCTTAAAAATATATTTCAAGCACGTAGCATCAGGAGGGGCCTGCCCCTTCGTTTTGTTGTTGTTGTTGTTTTTTGCAAGCCGATCCTAGCTACTTTCATTGTAAAATGTCCATTGAAAAGCCCCCTTTTTTGTTCCTGGATTGGAATTGAAGATGCCTCACTACCTCAGCTATTAGGATTTCGGGATTGGGCGCTTACAATACAATATCTAAGATAATCCCAACTTTTCTAAGTTAAAAAAATATATATCCAGCCAAATGAATACCAGTATAGGTATATATAATTTCCTATTCCGAGCGGTAAAGAAAATAAAATAGGTACAAATGAAAAGTATCAAATCAATCCTCCAGCTTAATGGTTATAATCAGCAATAATCTGCCAATTTCATGAAGAATTAACTTTATTTATCGTTTGATTATGCAAGTAATCAAGTAATACAAGAAATTTCCGTTAAAGTTGTATCTATAAATTAGAAATTTTCAAAAGCTATAGAGAGTTTATTCAAATAAAAACAAAACAAAATAATTTTAACATTTCTTTTTTAGAAAATCAAGATCCTAGTCAACCGTACTGTTTATCGTTAGGTACTTTTAGTTCGGATTCCAGTGCATCATATGCAATGGGTTTTTTTTTACCCCGCATTATACGATTCCTTCTTGTCACAATTTTTGTCCGGCATCAAATAATACCTCCATATATTGGTTAGGATCTCGGTCAATATTAGAAAAATATAATATTCTCGAAAAAATTTGAAGTATTCTCACATATAGATCACATGAAAACACTTCATTTGTTCGATTGGCATTAGCTAGAAATCGGATCGAGTTTTAGCAAAGAAATAAAGTAGCAAAGTAAAGCACATGCCATCATCAACGCCATTTAATATCCATTCTCGATAACATCCAGCTAAGTATGAATGAATAGATAATGAGTACAGAAAACCAAGAACAAAATGAATATTCTATGTGCATAATAATGATATGCGCAGCTGTACGCGCAGTAAAATTGTTTGTGCAATTTTTAGTTTCCTCTGCTCGTGCAATTTTTTTTTTATTTTTGTTTGTGCATATTATACACTTAAATCGTGTAAAAACTTTCGGATTCTTCTATTTTTCGTTATGTTTGTGTTAAAATATTTCAAACTATGTTTAATTTTTACCTATGCGTGCATTTTAATTTACTCGTGTATATTTTTCATTTAGCTCGTTTATAAAATCTTGATCGTTGTGCAGAAAATACTTTTGAACCAATCGGCGTGCCATACAATCGGCGTGCCATAATATATGAGAAGAAAAATACTTGCTGTGGCCTCATCTAGATGTATAGATAAAACGACGATGTATTATCAATTTACAATACATATCCCAGTTAATTTGAAACAAAAGACTACGTGCTCTGTCACATCTGTTTCATATTTGGATTTTTCATTGGCAACATACATGTGCGATACGATTAAGGAATATTAGTAACTATTATCAGTAGTAGTATATTAGGTATTTTCCCCTCATTTTGAATTTGATCGGGAACAATGTTGCTTATTTCTTGTTTCGATGTCATTTTAGCTCACCTGAGCCGGAGGCTCAAGTGAGCTTTTCTGATCAAAAATTGTCCGTTGTCTGTGGTCGTCCCTGTCGTTGTCGTTGTTGTCGAAAACTTTTCACATTTTTATCTTATCCTCAAGAACCACTCGGCCAATTTCAACCAAACTTGCCACAAAGAATCCTTGTTTGAATGGGACGCATGTTTGTTCATATGAAGGGCCACACCCTCTTCCAAGGGGAGATAATTTTAAATTAACGAAAAATTAATGGCATCTTTTAAAAGTCTCAAGAACCACTGGGCCAGGAAAGATGAAACTCATGTGGTAGCATACTCAGGTAGTGAAGATTCAAGTTTGTTCAAATCAAGACCCCCGAGGGTAGGGTGGGACCACAAAGGCTGATCAAAATTTTACATAGGAATGTATAAGGAAAATCTTTGAAAAATCTTCTTCTCAAGAACACCAAAGCCATGATTGATGATATTTTTATGGAAGTATCCTCAGGTGGTGTTGATTCAAGTTTGTTCAAAATATGAACCATGGGTGTAGGGCGGGGCCACAATGGCTGATCAAAGTTTCACATAGGAATGTATAGGGAAAAAAATCTTAGTAGCAAAGCCAAAATTGGTGATATTTATATGGTGTAGATTCATGTTTGTTCAATATCCTTAGATGGTGTAGATTCATGTTTGTTCAATATCCTTAGGTGGTGTAGATTCATGCTTGTTCAATATCCTTAGGTGGTGTAGATTTATGTTTGTTCAATATCCTTAGGTGGTGTAGATTCATGTTTGTTCAATATCCTTAGGTGGTGTAGATTCATGTTTGTTAAATATCCTTAGGTGGTGTAGATTCATGTTTGTTCAATACATGACCCCCATGTTTTGTAAACATTTACATGTATTTTGTTTGAGTAATATTTATTCACAAATAATTAAATACCAATTCTACAAAGTGACATTTAATTTTTTTCTTTTCTCTTCAGTCAACAGCCAAAATATTTAGCTTACATTGTAAGCATGTACATCGTAATTCCTTGTACTGCTACTGCATAAAGCTATCTACGAATGCAACACGCGTTTTATGAAAACAAACATGTATGATGTTCAACGATGTAATGCTATATTTGATATAATCCTGTTATTTAAAAAGCATAATAGTCTTTTTTATGTTTTTTACCGTCATATATATCCACATATGTTTCGAAATGTATCCGAGAAGTTCAGCATATATATACATGTACCTCTACAGGGACCTAGGACATTGCTGCAGAACACGACAGAGCAAGGGCATGCATTTACTTCTGAAACACGGAGTCATCTTTTGTCTGTTTGTATCAGGTGAGTTCAATTTCATTTCTCTTATATGGTGTAGGCTTATCCCTTCCCCCTACTTTCGACAGGTATGTTGCAGGTTAAGTCAAGAAAGGGTACTTGGTAGTGTTTGGGGGTAAAATTGGTACTGAAAGAAGTTCAGAAGCTCCGATCCCCCTTCACACGAAATAAGATTTTCGTGTTTAGTGGAAAAGGACACATTTCCCACTTCAATCTTCTTTGTTTTTGGTTGCAAGTTTTTTGTAGGTTTGAAATAGTTTTTCCTTACATTTAGCTTTCAATTTGTTTCCGACGCCAATGATATTATATATTTATATATTTTTTTCTAATATTCAACTGGAACCTTATGGTGGGTTTTTTGTCTCAATTTGGATTAGGGAATATATTTTTCCTAAGAATTTAAAAGTGGCTGAGTATTTCCTATATCATGTATATAGTGCAAAGGCGTCGGAAGCAAATTGAAAGGGGGGGGGCTAAAACAACAAAAAAAAGGTAAACCCCAATTTTCAATGCCTATATTATATCAATCTTTCTAAGCCCCCCCCCCCCCCCCCCCCCAGCGCCCCGATTCCGATGCCTATTTACAGAAGTGTAAATAATGCAATCAAAAAATGGTGTATGGATTGCTTTATTTGGTCTGTTTATTAATAAAATAAACGTTAAAAAACTTTCCGTAATTATAAAGAAAACAAAAGATGTCTTTGGTTCTGACATATGCGACTTTTTGTCGTTTTATATGTACATTTATACTCAACTGCAAAAAACTTTTTAACATTGTTACAAAATCTTACCAAGTTTTAACAATTAACCTGGAAAACATTATTCATTTTACTTTTACGAATATAAATCTATGAGAAAATTTGCCGATTTCTAAAAAAGAAAAATGGGTGTATTTATTTCTATGAAGAATTTGAGCCATTTTCTAAAGTTTGAGGTCAGCAGATGGGAGTGAAATGAAGAAAAGAGAACAATGTGATAATCAATCGATCACGTGTCTTTACTTTACAGCCTTCTGTTGTACGTATGATGGTCAATGCAACAGAAAGGTTGACTGTCCCGGTGGTCAGGTGTTAGCTTGTCGTGATCGCCAGTGTACATGTAAAGTAGGGAATTGTGAGTATTAAGCAGGTTTATAAATCAACAACAAATGTCATTTACAGTGTAATGAACTTAATGTCAAGAAGAATACTTTAAAATAAAGCATTGAAATTCTAAGATAATCACAAACCAATATAGAATGTATATGTCAAGTTAAATGCTCAAGAATATTTAAAAGTAATACTTCATGGACTTATCCGGAATGTTCCTTTGAAAAAATATTATGTATTTAGGACTTATTATAAGTTGTTTTTTTTCAATTTAGGGTGTTGGTTTCACAATAACTGCAACAGGGTCTGCCGCTCTCACCAAACCCCTCACTGTGCCTGGTGGCAATGCTTTTGTCATAATACTAAGAAGAGAAAGGTGAAGCTGTTGTGAGTCTTGATTTTATCAAACTCCTGGCACGATAGAAGTATCTCCTGCCAAGGATTTTTCATTTGGTGTGGTGACAATATTTTCAAAATTTATGCTTTCGTATTCTTATTATATTTTTTGTTTTAAAAAAATTGTTTCATATGATAATGATTCTTAATAATGTCCATAAGTGATACAGCAGCAGTCATTGAAACTTTACTATTAAAATTCCATTATGCAGGTTTTCTCTACTTTTTTTTTTTTGCTGAGGCAGGCTACTGAATGATGTTTCAGGAATTTCAACCTCGTTATATCCCCCACTTGAAAAGCGGGAGGGTATATATTAATCGGGATGTCCGTCATTTTGTTGCGCTTTTGGGTACCCATCTCTTATCCACAACTCCTCTTACACCACTGAATGATATTTAATGAGACTTTCACAGAATCTTTATTACATATAAAGATTCTGTACACTTTCTGTTTTATTTTTTGATCTGACACATATTTTGGATTTCCCTTAGCGAAACATGGACACTGTCATTATATTCATAACGGAGGTATCATTAAGTGAATTCATTGCTCACAGTACCTCTAGTTTAAAGTAGACAGTTCGTAAATTCTAATGACAATAAATAATGTAATACATGAAAAAAGAAAATACTTGCTTTGACCCTTAAATCGACATTTATATATATATATATATATATATATATATATATATATATATATATATATATATATATATATATATATATATATATATATATATATATATATATATATATATATATATATATATATATCGATGACGTAAGTATAATCAGTTAACAATATTATCTTCAATTCATATGAGGACATGATGATCTGATATAATGAACGTGAAATGAAAGATACTAGTACCAGGGTCTAATTACGTCTCATGTTTGGATACTTTAAAAGAAAAATACCAACAAAGATTTATGATGACTTTCACTTTTCGTCAATCGTCAACTTCAATTACTTGCTCAGCGATTTACATGATCACCTTCATACAAATTTAAATCTGATTATCTAGTAAACTCAGAACAAAATAAAGGATAATGGCAAAACAATTAGCATGGAAAACGTCTGTCGGCATTTGACTTACGATAGAGTGCATTTGCTGACATGGTATTATAAGGCGCCGTTTTGATATTTACTGGCAAAAAGTGATATCAGTTATTCGATTAGGTGATATCACCTATCGAATTGGTGATATCACCTATTAATTTTCAATAGGTGATATAACCTATTCGAAAAGGTGATATTCTTTATTCGAATAGGCGATATCACCTATTGGAAATGAATAGGTGATATCGCATATTCGAATACGTGATATCTCCTACTCGTGCTGAATACATGTAGGTGATATCACCTATTAGAATAAGAGATTTCACCTATTCGAATTGGTGATATCGCCTATTAATTTTCAATAGGTGATATAACCTATTCGAAAAGGTGATATCATTTATTCGAATAGTTGATATCACCTATTGGAAATGAATAGGTAATATCGCATATTCGAATACGTGATATCTCCTACTCGTGCTGAATAGGTGATATCACCTATTCGAAAAGGTTATATTACATATTCAAATTGAATTGGTGATATCACCAATTCAAATAGGTGATATCACCTAACTGAATATCTTACAACAATAAATAATGAAAGCTCCCTGTAATATAAAGATTACCACTGGAATGAAGAAAATTCGGACTACCCAGTTTTCAAACATTTTTCCAATTTTTTCTTAAAGTTTACATGCTTGATAAGTGAAATAAATTAATTTGTGAGCAAAACAAACTACAATTTCTATTGGGGTTGATTAAAAATAAATACAAAACTGTAGGGATGGCAATCGATTGCAGAATTGCTAATCGGTTAACCGCAAGACGTTCCGACCGATTAACCGGTTAGTCGTATCAAGATATACATTTTGACAATATCTTTTCATATACACAAAAAGGCTTAAGGGACTCCGACCCTCAGCCAGGAAGGACAACTCTTTAATTTATAATTTAATTTAAAAAGTCTTTAAATGAAGCTTAAAAATTAAATTTTTTCATGCAACAATTTTCATTAAATGCCTCTCAATGTGTTTCAGGGTTCTTTGAACTTCTCAAAAAGGTATAATTAAAAGTAGAATTTTTTATCCCGAAAAAGCATACCAATGTTTATTAACATGATATGAAATTAGAAGTGATTTATGGAGCTTTGCAAAGAACCTTGAAGCACATTGAGAGGCATATAATGAAAATTGTTCCATGAAAATATTTAATTTTCAAGCTAAATTTAAAGACTTTTTTAATTAAATTATAAATCAAAGAGTTGTCATTCCTGGCTGAGGGTCAGTGTCCCTTAAAAGATGTTAGAAGTTACATTCTGTTTATTATTTTGAACAGAGAATTTTATGTACATAAGAGTATATTTTATTTTGATTTCAAAAGACCATGAATCTTGCTTGAGAAATCAGACAGGGATAATTTTCCAACGCAGATGTTATAGTAAATTCCGCGTTGTCACTATAATCAGAACTAATCTATGTCTGAACTCTCACGTTATTTACAAATTACAACGTTCTTTATAATAAAATAATTTAAAAGCTAACGGCAAAAATAACATACAATAATTAAAGTGCTTAACGGTGATGTTTTTAATAGCATTAAAAAAAAACAGGACTATCTGGGTAACGGCATGATGTTATAAAAACAGTAATTATCACTTACAAATTGACCAAGCTATATAATTACCTTCAAATACTCTTTATTATGAGATGTGCTTTCCTTTCTAAAAAAAAATACAGAATGGAATTTAAGCAAACTGCGCTCAAATTTACAAATATTACAACCGATTACGGATTAGCTAACCGATTAGCATCGTTCCGACCGATTAATCTATCAACCGGTTACAAATTGCCATCCCTACAAAACTGTAATCTATTGTCTCCTAGAATGATTAGCTATAAAACAAAAGTGAAAGTAAATAAGATTAAGGGACCTATAGTCTTGGGAGCTGTTATTTCATGAATAATTTGAATAGGTTATATCACCTTTTCGAATAAGTGATATCATCTATTCTATTTGAATAGGTGATATCACTTATTTGAATAGGTGATATAACCCATTCGATAGGAATAGGTGATATCACCTATTTGAATGTGATATCACCTATTCGAATAAGTGATATCACCTTTTCGAATAGGTGATATCACCAATCAAATAAAAAAAAAAATTCAAATTAAATAGGTGATATCACCTATTTGAATAGATGATATCACTTATTCCAATTGGTGATATCACTTTTTGGCAGTAAATACCAAATCGAAGCCCATAAGGTATCGACCAAAAACTGAATTAAAAACAGCTTCTAGTAACTAGTAACTAAATATTTAAGTACAGATGACGATACTAACAAAAATGTGAATGTCTGGATAGGTAAATATTTTTACTTTAAATTGGTTGTAAATGATTAGAATACTGAAAAATACGTTTCATAACTTTTAATAAATTGCCAATTTTCTCTGATCTTTAAAAGCCCCATATCTAACACCATCATCAACTGATAAGAATTTCATCAAGGTTCTCCATATTATATTTAATTAACAATTTTCGTTTTATTTTTATGTACATTTAAGCATCTAGCACATTTCATCGGGCATTCGTAAAGCTTATTCTCTTAGCTTCCCCACGTGATATGACACTGAGGTTACCATATTATCTGCAGTGATATACTTAGCTACTACCACTTTTGGTGTAAAATATAGGATGTTTATATCAGCAACATAAGTAGACCATTGTATTGCAAACTTGCAAAATCAAACACAATCTAGGAGTAAATGAATACATTGTACATCACTATAGATAATAATTAGTGCCAGTCATGTGGAGAAGCTACATGATGAATCTTACATTAGCAATATAAGTTAAATTAGTTGATAGCAGCTAAGTAACCATATCTTATATGATGTAAATATTTGTATGGCAAACTTTGAGTACGTCTAACAAAAATTCATTAGTAGCCGAAATGATATTATTATTATTAAATTTCATTGCTTTTTATTTCTTAAAATCTACCGCTCAATAATATTGGTATTACCATAGTAAGGGAAGTGATGGGAAGTTAAAACTGATGCAGAGGCCTATCAGCCATGTTGTTTGTTTACACGTAGTAATGGTTCAACCAAACACTCAACTGCTCAACTGTCTCCAAAAATCTCCGACCAACAGAGGGTTTGGTTTGGTTTGAAGTAAGAGGTACATTTATTACATCTGGAATTTTCCCGAGAACTGGAATGATAGGACTGCAACAGGGTATACCGCTTTCACCAAACTCCGCACTGTATTTGGTGGAGATGTTTTTGTCATAATGCCAAATAAACAAGACAAACGATGTGCATATTGATTAATTATGATAAAAGTATGCGAGGATATAACTAATACCGTAGTACTTTTGTCAATGATCTAAGGCAATAAGGGTCTAAATCTTATGAGTTTTTTTCTTAAATATTTGTGTTTTAATTGACATATTAAGAGATAAGATATCACAAGAGAACTTTAAAAGAAAAGAAAGGTGAACCTGTTGTGAGTCTTGATTTTATCAAACTCTTGGCACGATATAAGTATACCAAGGATTTTGTCTTTTGGTGCGGTGACAATATTATCTAAAGAAAGTGGGCGCTTAAGATGGCAATTCGGCAGGAAAAGTGGCTCATAAAAAGAATCAAAAAAAATATCATTGATTTATACATTTTTTTTCAAAACAAAGCCAATAAATGTGTTGTAGGTGAATGTAAAATGGGCAAATATTCAGTTAAATATGTTTGATTTTATTTGAATGTTCACCTGAATATAGCCGTAGGTGTCAAATGATGCAAAAATCGACTCTTTTATAGCCGTTTTCATTAATTTCGTTGTTTCTGGGTCTTCTCTCCATGAATTTTAAATGTGTTATCGGTGAATTTTTAACCGTAAAATTTATTCCAGATGTTTAAAAAAATGGAGAGACAACCCAGAAATACCAAAATCTAAACTTTTTCCATTTATTTTCTGGTAGAAAATTGACAAAGTCCAATTGTATAAGGCTTTGGCTTTAAATAATGATTTAAATACTAGCTACGTATAGTGTCCCGCTGTAGCTACATTGGTTTGTCGCTGGATTCAAGCTATATCGAAGCAGCATTTTAGGTTCGAATACATTGATTTTTATATATATATATATATAT